GTGGAGGATGGAACAAAACCTTGTCTGAGCCGTAACGCTCCGCTGACGTGTGCAGTGTAAATAAGGGGTAACTTTGAATAACAAGATATTGAATTTTTTTTTTTTAATACTTGTTAAGTGTCTTGTTAATACTGCAAATGCATTTTAATGCCACAGAACATTGCACAACTCACACATGCAAGTCAACAAGCATACAACACCACACATTACATACTCAGCACTTCACTGCACTCAAACACACAAACATAAAACACCATAAACATTATGTAAACAACATACTCAACTCTATACCACACACACAAATATCAAAAAAAGATTGTTGATGCTTACTGTTGTTCTGTAATCTGTATTTTTAGTCATTTTCAAATCAAAATCCTGTGTAATGGTAGAACACAGCATGCACCTTAACAGTCCCCTAAACCTACTCGTCACAGAAAACTTTCAGCATTTTTACATATAAAAAAAAAAAAACTTCATTTCAGTATGATTTATAAGCTGTTTTCCTCATGGGGACCAAAAAAAAATTTCCCCACAAGGTCAAAAATTACTAGTTTTACTATCCTTGTTGGGACATTTGGTCCTCATTATGTAGGGAATACCAGGTACACACACACTGTGCACTATTTCAAACATACTAACATTCAACTAAATTTTAGAACAAGTCAGACATGTTTCTGTAAATTGTTGAACAGCAGAAAATGTTTTAAGAGATGTTTAAGTTGCATTTGTAAAAAGCAAAAAAGAAGAAGAAAATAAAGAAGTCATTTAATATTCACCAGTTTAGATTTTTAGGTAACGCTGCTTAAAATTTCATGCGAAATTTACTTAAGAAGAGGGATGCAAAAATGATGCACTATATTTTTAAGTAAATCTAGCATATTATTTTTTTCAGTGTACATGCTTGATTTCTAGAAGTAAGAGACATTCTTCCTCATTATCACATAGAAAAACAAATGAGTACTTTTACAAACTCTTTCTCGTTTTGAGTCATACTTGAAGAAAGATTTTTCTGCATGTAGTTTGGTGTCAGTAAGGTATACAGTATATTTTTAAAGAAATTAATACTTTTATTCTGCAAGGATGCATTAAATTGATCAAAAGTGACACTAAAGTCATTTAGAATGTTTTTAGAATTTCAAATTAACTTCACAGCACAACTGGTTTCAACTTTGACAATAGTAATGTTTCTTGAGTAGCAGATCAGCATATTAGAATGATGAGGATCATGTGACACTGAAAACTGGAGTAATGATTGCATATATGATGCATATTGCATCATAGTGATTGAATATTCGGCTTTGCCATTACAGGAATAAATTACATTTTAAAAAGTATTTATGCAGAAAACAGTTTTTTAACATTTTACAAATATTTCACAATATTACTGTTTTTAGTATTTCTGGATCAAATAAATCAGCCTTGGTGAGCACTTCTTTCAAAAACATCAAAAAAACCTTACCGACCCCTTTAGGCTTTTCAGAGGTATTGTAAGAGACCTCAATCTCAGGGGACTGTAGGTCTGAAGGCAAATGTTAATTAAACGCTGTAAGCACTTATATATTTTTAGTCTTTTAATCATACAGCATCTGATTACAGTTGCGACTGCAGTGCATTATAACATGTAGAACAGTAGAGTAACCGATCTATCATTATTATTTAAAAATCCCTGTTTAGATGTGATCTCAGTTCAGCATTTCATGGTGCACAGAGCTAAAAAATATGATTTTTCATCTTCATTGAGTGATGATGTTCCCAATTAGCTCTCATTGCACACCATCAGTTCAGTTGAATGGATTTGAGTGTTCTCAGTTCAGTCTGTTATGTGATAAGATGTATCGTTTTGTTATTCCAGGTTTGGAGGATTCTGAACGGGACTAAAGTCATTTAGAATGTTTTTAGAATTTCAAATTAACTTCACAGCACAACTGGTTTCAACTTTGACAATAGTAATGTTTCTTGAGTAGCAGATCAGCATATTAGAATGATGAGGATCATGTGACACTGAAAACTGGAGTAATGATTGCATATATGATGCATATTGCATCATAGTGATTGAATATTCGGCTTTGCCATTACAGGAATAAATTACATTTTAAAAAGTATTTATGCAGAAAACAGTTTTTTTACATTTTACAAATATTTCACAATGTTACTGTTTTTAGTATTTCTGGATCAAATAAATCAGCCTTGGTGAGCACTTCTTTCAAAAACATCAAAAAAACCTTACCGACCCCTTTAGGCTTTTCAGAGGTATTGTAAGAGACCTCAATCTCAGGGGACTGTAGGTCTGAAGGCAAATGTTAATTAAACGCTGTAAGCACTTATATATTTTTAGTCTTTTAATCATACAGCATCTGATTACAGTTGCGACTGCAGTGCATTATAACATGTAGAACAGTAGAGTAACTGATCTATCGTTATTATTTAAAAATCCCTGTTTAGATGTGATCTCAGTTCAGCATTTCATGGTGCACAGAGCTAAAAAATATGATTTTTCATCTTCACTGAGTGATGATGTTCCCAATTAGCTCTCATTGCACACCATCAGTTCAGTTGAATGGATTTTAGTGTTCTCAGTTCAGTCTGTTATGTGATAAGATGTATCGTTTTGTTATTCCAGGTTTGGAGGATTCTGAACGGGACGTGTCTGAATAGAATAGAACGAGCCCACAGCAAAGCAGTCACCTGTGTCTGCTTCAACAAGGACAGCAGTCAACTATTAAGTGCCTCCTTTGACCAGATCATCAGGTTCAACATATATTACAAATCCGACTTTTTGCACTGTTTCGCTCCTTATTTTTAATAATTGGTGTTCACTTTTAGATTTTGCACTGAAGATGGTTTCTGACACTCCAGATCTGTTATTTAACTCAGTCCTGTCATGATTTGAGTGGCTCTCATTTGACGGGCACTCCAAGGGCACGAAAGTCAAAATCGAGCAAAAAAATCACATCTCGCATAATTATAACGGATTATTGTTTACATTATTGATCCTTGGTGTAACTTCAGACCTCCTTTGACCAGATCATCAGGTTCAACATATATTACAAATCCGACTTTTTGCACTGTTTTGCTCCTTATTTTTAATAATTGGTGTTCACTTTTAGATTTTGCACTGAAGATGGTTTCTGACACTCCAGATACAGTGGGGAAAAAAAGTATTTAGTCAGCCACCAATTGTGCACAAAAAATTGCTTATAAACTTCTTGCTATGCCATATTATTACCAAATATTGGATTTAATCTTGGATTTAAGCTACTGTCAACTGTTTGGTTACCAACATTCTTCAAAATATATGAGAATATAAGAATCTCATACAGGTTTAGAACAACTTGAGAGTGAGTAAATTTACATTTACATTGAGTAATTAAGCAGATGCTTTTATCCAAAGCGACTTACAAGTGAGGACAATAAAAGCAGTCAAAACTAACAAAAGAGCAACAATATATAAGTGCATATACACACACACACACACACACAAGTAAATGATGACAGAACTTTCATTTTGGTTGAACTATGCCTTTAAGAACAATCTTAAGAAGAAAGATAAGCACATTCCTAAAAAGTTCTCAAGTTTTTCTTTCAAGTAAGAAAATAACAGTTAAGAAGAATCTTATTCATAAGAATATTTTGTGAATCTGGTCACAAATGTTCATTTTGCAGGTCCATTGCCCAGATTAGGTAATGTAGGAGCATTACCCAGATTTTTTTTTGTTACTCTTAAGCTAATTGCTGTGATTTTCTTGCTAAGTTGACGGAAAAGATACAGAAGGTTGAAAGCCATGTAATGGATCTCACAATAGAAGCATATTGTATGCATAAGAAGCAAGATGACCAGTTGCTATGCAATAACCAATAAGTGCCAGTAAGAACAGTAGTAGTGAAATGTTTTGCCATGGATACTTTGTAGACAGAAACGGCGGGGGAGGAGGAGGAAATCTGAAGTCGTGGTCTGGGTGTTAAACATCATTAGGAATATTCCGTCACATGACCAGACTCAGCATCTCTCCCTCTCCCGCAGACCAGACTGCAGTAATTCTACAGCTGGGTGTCAGTTCTAGGCTCTCATGGTGCATGTGGGTGGAAAGAAGCAGGATTGGCCACGTGCGTGAGAGAGGCAGCACGCACAGATAATGTGTTTCTGTTCCTTGCTTAGCTACCCAAACAGCAGCAGACTGAGGCAGACGTTTTGTCATTCCAGCTCCTTAGCTGGATAAGGAACGAGAGGGGGGTGAAATGGCAAGCTGCTCTGCTATTGGCCACTTATTGATAAATACTAGCCCCTCCCCTTTTGCAATGGATTGGATCTATGCTCTCAGTAGTGTGTGTGACTCGTGAGTGCCAGCCTGGCTTTAAAGATGATGTATAAAAGGTTACCTTTCTTGTTTATGTCATAGGTCATCTTTGGATCAGTCATTGTATCTGGAAACCTTTGTAGGAAAGTAGTACATTTAAGGGATTTGGTAAGTGCACAAAACAAATGACAGTATAGACATATTTCAGTGAACATTTTTGTTTTGTTTTCTTTTGTGGACAGAGAGATGAGTTGGACAAAACTGAAATGAATCAAGGTCTAGGTGTTAAGAGTCATCAGGAATATTCCATCACATGCCCAGAGCGAAAGTCTCTCCCTCTCTCTCTCTCAGTCCTGACTGCAATAGTTCTGTGGCTGGGCGGCAGTGCTAGACTCTCATGGTGCATGTGGGTGGAATTTAATGTGCATGAGTGAAGAGTATTTTTTCAGTAAAGATGGTAGAATCACGTTGAAAGTTGCAGAGAAAGGTTTTGTTGTTTTGCTGTCTTCTTCTGTTATGACTTTGATGTGTGATTATTATATTCTCTTTGAGCTTTGATGATAATGATTGATTGATGGCATCAACATATTGCTTTTTGTTTTATTTTATTGTGCTTTCATGATTGTTTTGTTTTTGTTTAGTTTTTTGTTTGTTTTTTGTTTAGGTTCGTTTTTTGTTTGGTTTCAAGCTTTACTTTTTAAAGACATGTTGAATTTGTGAATTGTAAAGATGATACAATCACATTGTAAAATACAGACGAAAGTTGTGTTGTTTTGCTCTTTTCATGACATCATGCTTTTTTGTAGTATTTTGCTTTTTGTGTTGGGTGTGACTCTTTTGTTCTTTCATGAAGAAAATAAGTTGAATCATGTTGTATATTTTGTAGACAAAAGTTGTTTTGCTGTCTTCTGTTGTGACTTTGATGTATGATTTTTTTGAATGAAAATGGTCTTTGTTGATATTTAAAAAGTCTCTTTGTGGATAATAATTGATTCATGACATCATAACGTTTTGATTTTTTGTTGTATTTCTTTTATTGTTACTTTCAAAATAATTAATTTGAATTTGTGAATTGTGGTTACATTTCTAACTTGGATTTCTTTGATCAGGCTTCATGGTTTGAAATCAGGAAAGATGCTGAAGGAGTTTAGAGGCCATACAGCTCATATAAATGACGTCATCTTCTCACACGGTGGCCAGCATGTCATCAGCGCGTCAGCAGATGGCACAGTAAAGGTAAGTGTTCATACTGTGGTGAACCACACGTAATAGCCTATGCATCTTTATTTTTGTGAGTTTTCCCTGCTTAACTGTCTTTTTTTTTTCAGGTCTGGAGCATGAAGACAATGGATTGCACCCACACAATAAAAACCCCTGACATTCCTGAGGGTACAGACATCACTGTTAACAACATTGTGCTTGTCCCAAAGACTCCCGAGCACTTTGTAGTGTGCAACAGGACCAACACGGTTGTTGTTACAAACATTCATGGCCAGGTGAGAACAAAAAAATTAACCAGCAAGATACTCTGCATACTCCTCATGATTATTCTAAAATGCACACACTAGAGTGAACACTACAGTAACTGGTTTTCATATTTGACATAAATGGCACAAGTTAACACCATTTATGAATCAGAAACCTTGACTAAAGGCTGGATTGTTGAGCAGAAGTTTAAAAAAAGCAGCAAACTTCCAATGCAGGTTGTGAGGTTTGCTAAAAAATAGCTACGCACTTATTATTCAGACCGTTCAGCCGTCTCACCCACTCTTTTCTTGACATACTTGATGACTCTCTCTCGCATGCTTTTTGGTACTCTCTGAAGCGTGCCTTATCCATTTGCATTGCACTTTCGCTCTCACTCTCACTCTCTTGCCCCCCTCTCTTTTCCTTCCCAGGTGATGAGGAGTTTCTGTTCAGGTGTAAGAGAGGGGGCTGACTTTGTTTGCTGCACGTTGTCTCCACGTGGAGAGTGGATTTATTGTGTGGGAGAAGACTATGTGCTGTACTGCTTCAGCACCATCACTGGCAAGCTAGAGAGAACACTCACGGTACCATCCGCCCTCACAGCACATGCTGCATATTCACGAGATCTGTTTTAGTCGGGTGAAGTGTGATAGGTTTACAGCTAAAGTTGTCTTCTCAGTATTCCAGAACAATTGGTATTTATATTCAAAACATTGGCTGTAACTCTAATTAGGACTAGTTGGAGATACATCCAAACTGAATTGGATATAAAAATGAACTGTGCTTTAATATAAACCAGTTTCTGTGTACATCCTCCATAGGTACATGAAAAAGATGTGATCGGCATAACTCACCACCCCCATCAGAATCTCATCGCCACATACAGCGAGGATGGCCTACTCAAACTCTGGAAGCCTTGAGTCTCGTCTTTCATAATATGGACTTGTGTTCTATGTTCTGGATTTGTGGTATTCCTGCACACACACATATGTCTCTGCCTTTATACGCCTGCTATGACATTGGTCTTCCATTTAAAGCGCTCAAAAACATTCATGTTTCTGTTGAACCTTAGCATCATGCACTGAGATGAAGGACCTCTTCGACATCTGAAATTAACTACATCCAATTTCGTAATTTCGAGATGTTCCTCTAAAGCCTCTAATGGAAAACAAGAAAAACTGCATGGATGCACTGGTCTTTTACTATTAAGGGCTTTGTAGTATTGTCTGTGATAATATCTGCATGCAAGATTTAGCCCGGTCGACATTAATGTGGTAAATGTACTGGTTTTCTTTCCAGACTATTCTTTGAATCTTACATGTGAATGTATGCAATTTCTTTGATCATTTTGACCAAAGACAAATAATTAGTGTGTACTTGCTCATAATGTGACCTCGCACTAGTCGTGGACTCATTGAGGACATTTTCACATATTTGTACTTGTGTACATTTAGAATTCTGATGTTTAGAATTCATATGGTACAATATTGTGTTGATTATAATGGTTTAGTGTGTTTTAACACTCAACCAAGCACATCTACTTGTACTGCATGCAGGTGAACATATTATGCAGTTACTGCAATACTGTATGAAGTAATCAGTATGGTTTATATTCTGATAATTACAGATTATTTTCTATCGAGGATATTCACAATTTTTGTTGAATATTGGTATAACACTGCTTCACAGTGTAAGTCTCTGAGTATCTTACAGTGTTGGTAAATAATGTGCTGATATTGCTGCAGTTTAATTAAAATTCAAGCATGAATAATTCATGACAATCTTTTCAAGAAGATTTGTCATTAAGATGCATCATTAACTGGTTAGATGTTGGATTGCTTGATATTTGCAGTAGATCTCCAATAAATCTGTAGAGACATCTTGATATTGGCATAATTAGCCAAATATTCAATCCCCCAGACCCCAAAAATACAAAACTGACTAAACAAATAACATTGTGACATTTATTTTATAAATAGAACTACAAATGGCAGTTATTGGTCATAATTAAATTTTTTCAATTAAACTTCAGACAAAACAGATAATAATCAAATATAAGACTATCTGCTAGCAAAAATGAAAATAATAATTACAAATGGGATAAAAGTGCATTTGCAATATCCAAAAAAGTGTCTTCCAAATTTAGGCAGAGTTAACATTTAATTAATTTGCAAAAATGTTGAATTTTCTTTCAAGACGCGCTTAAGACTGATTTTATGCAGAGGTATGTAGATGGCTCATTCAATTAATGATTTATTTTTTTTTGTTATTTAGATAAAACAAATTCCTTCAAAAAAGCATTTAATATCTTCTTCGATCCTTAATTAGCAAACAAACACAATGTGATTTAGTTTTGATAAAATCCTTGGCTATTATTTCTTAGTTACATGAAAACAGTAACATGAAAAGTTACCATGTACTAGACTCTAAATAATATGAGCCAATTAAGAAGCTAACTAATATCACTTTCTACAAAATAAGGCTTTTAAGAGATGGATCACAGTTCATTTTGAACATAAGTTTTTCTTTGTTGAAATGTATTTTCAACTTCGTTATTAACCCTCTTATTAGTTCAAAATGTTCTAGAAAAAACATTTAGCAATAAACTGGCACATACCAAATTTCCAACAACATCAAGATCAAAGTCTTACATGAAACCCACAATTAACTGGCAATAAACAAAACACCACAAAGATTGTAATGTTTTCTCAAACTGATGAAGAAATATAAATTTTTCCAAGTTAATACATTTTCATGATGAAATTTTCTTGGATTATGGCACAACCAACTTGACCTGAATATCCCTTCCATTTCCACTGTAACTGCTACACAAATTTCCATAGACTCTCCCTTCAGCTGAACCTCTATGGCACCAGTGTCCCAACTCATTTGACTTTTTATTTCACAAATTATTTGCTCAAAATTTTGGATGAGAAGTTACTTCCAAACAATGACACAAGAGGTCGGCACTAAGAGGTCTTGTTCTAGGCACAGAACTATTTGAGAGGTACATTTTTCCCTCTTGGTCCTTTTTCCTTGTGTTCCAGCAGAGGTGGCATTTGTTGTGGAAGGGAGGGTAAGGGAACAGGAATCTCTACGAGGTTTGGCACTGCACACCTCCAGATGGGTAAAAGTCTTCCTCCTCTATATAGTGGTAATGGTGGCGATCATGGGTCAGATCACAGTCTTCAAGGTCAGCGTATATATAGAGGTCATCATCCATGCTGTCAGGCTCAATATTTGCCTGTTTTTCAGGTAAGTACCTTTCTAACTCCTTGAGTTTGTTTAATGGAAGGAAGTTCTCTTCAGGGAAGACAACCTTAAGAAGAAAATTAGCACAATTAGTTTATGTAATTTATTATTGTAAGTGAGAAGAGCAAGAAAATGTAGCTTAAGTATTTACTCTGAAATGTACTTTTTATGAAGTTTTCAGTTTTGTTTATTTAGCTTTAGTTATTTCAGTTCTTCAACCTTAAACTAAAAGAAAATGAAAAATGTTGAAAAGCATTTGTATCTGAAATGCAAATGCTCCCCCCCCCCAGTTTTAGTGGTTTTAGTTTTAGGTAAAGTCCCCCTGCAGTCACCAATGTTATCCTTAAAAATTGTCTTTCATAATCATAATCAAAATCAGAATCATCATGTTCAGTTTTTTCCCCCCGTGAACGTAATATCTTCATGGCTTCAATGTAACTCTAACATGCGAATGTGTTGTTAAATTATTGAAATATTATTATTATTACATATTGAACTAATTTTTCAAGAAAATATTTAATGTTAAAGTAGTTTTGGCTGCAAAAATGTTTGGGAATCCATTTAAAAGAACAATAAGTGAGAATCAATAAATTATGAATGATTTACTGGCATTGTGTGAATATGTAATCCATAAAAAGGAACTGTAATCTGATTATGAGCATTATAAAGTGTAACATACTCTAATTGTGAGTACTTTTTGGAATCGGATTATGTAATCCAGATTACATGTAATCAGATCCTACCCAGCTCTCTGTGTGTGTGTGTGTGTGTGTGTGTATGTATACGCACACACACACACAAACACACACACTCGTGCTCATGAATGCGTGTTTTACACTTAATTTCCATAACTTCTGGGAATCCAGAAAGTCCACATTTTGATAAAAGCCGTGTTAACGTTAGTTATGACTAAAGCACCTGCTGTTACTGTTTCAAAATAGTTTGACGATAAGCAGGAAATGTTCATGGGTCAGTGACATCACCGCATTGAAAAGGTCTATTCAATAATTAGTACTCACACTGAAAAGGATGATGAGTTTGCCTTTCTCAAATGGCCGACGGTGCAAAGGCATTCCCTCATTCAGAACACATTTCTTATCTCCAGGTCTGATCAACTCCCCTAGTAATGCAACAAAGACAGACAATACATTTGCTTTACACATCTACAGTTTATATAAGAGCAATGTCAGTTCTGCTATTATTAAGATTAATTTAACAACTAGCCAAGCTTATAATTTGTAGTATTTGAGAAAGATATCAGAACCAGTTACACCGAATCCAGGTAGACCAACGTAAGCACAGCCTACAAGAAGTGATATTCCACACATGCCTGGATGTCTGGTGATAGTCAGTGCTCGAATATGTATGTAGGATGGTTCACCTGGATGGGATGTGATGAGTAGAGTTCTGTTGTCCAGTGTATTAATAGGTTTTTGAAAACCACATAATGACTCTACCAACTGTAGCTCCATGTTCATGATGAGATCCTCTCCTTGTCTGAGAGGAGAAATGGTATGTTAACCATTATGTTTCTTACATAATATCCATATATTCTATATGTTCTGTTCCCTAATTGCCTTGTCTAAATGACCAAGTACTGTAACAGGCTGCCCCATATACAGAAAACAGAGGAAGTGTGACACTAATCCTGAAATAAATGAATCTGTGCTGCCATCTCCAGGACATTATCATCAGTGACATACCTCTGAAAATAACAGCCCTGCATATTGAAAAACAAAGCCTAATATGATGATCGTGACTTAAAAAAATCCATCACATACTTTTTTGTTGTTGTTCATAATATGCACTTAAGATAATAACAAAATGAAAGCGGTCAAATGTGAAGTTTAAAAATAAGTATAATTTAACTTACAACAACAATCTGTAAAGTAGTTGAAAACTTAGTTTAAAACACTAAATTTAATGTTGGTACATAACAAAAGTTATGTACATAATAAAGAGCTTTATATAAACACAGGTTTTTTTTACATAAATAATGTTGTTTTTTTTCCCCCATTTCAAAAAACTATTTTCTGTCTCTCCTTAGTAAAACACCGACAGACGTGAACTTTCTGTCACTGGACACGATTCTAACCTTGAACTCTGGATTACGCATAAAATAATACCTTCAGAATCAATTATACATGTGAAAATCAGCTGAGAATTGATCCAATTGTTATAACCTAGCTCAGAGAAAGATAGGAAACATGTCATCAACATGGCAGTTTTCCTGGTGGTTGCAACAATCTGTAAAGTAGTTGAAAACTTAGTTTAAAACACTAAATTTAATGTTGGTACATAACAAAAGTTATGTACATAATAAAGAGCTTTATATAAACACAGGTTTTTTTACATAAATAATGTTGTTTTTTTCCCCCCATTTCAAATAACTATTTTCTGTCTCTCCTTAGTAAAACACCGACAGACGTGAACTTTCTGTCACTGGACACGATTCTAACCTTGAACTCTGGATTACGCATAAAATAATACCTTCAGAATCAATTATACATGTGAAAATCAGCTGAGAATTGATCCAATTGTTATAACCTAGCTCAGAGAAAGATAGGAAACATGTCATCAACATGGCAGTTTTCCTGGTGGTTGACACTTATACTTAATACTTCTTCACCTTACAAATGATTTTTGAAAGCAAAAATGCTACGAAATGCAGAAAATATGATGTGCTAGGCACTATTTTTAGAATCAGCACCCCAAAATTAGAAGCAAGCATTGAATTTCATTTAGCAAATATGATGCAGGACAGTGTAATCAGCACTAACTTCAAACTTCAGTGTTACCAGCATTACTTAACAGAGACTTAGATATTATCATCTAGTCATTTTAATTTAGCTCAACTTCTTACTGATGTCTACAGAGTGGTTTTACCTGGTGAAAACCGGGTGCGCTCTCTGATCTAAGACAATGATGATGTCTCCAGGTTCAAGGCCAGGCTCCTGGTCACCCTCCCCATGGAACACTATTTTCTGTCCATCTTTCATACCTGCAAGAACACATAATCAAGCATAAACAAAAGTAACAAGCTGCAGAGAACAGATGTTTTGGACTGAACTGTGCTTTTCCGGGTCACTTTCTAACCTTTATCAATGTGCACCTCAAGAATCTTCTTCTGCCGTAGTATCTTGCGACCAGCGCATGTTTTGCAGCGGTCACGGTGACCCAGTTGCTGGCCTTGCCCCTGACAGCCGGCACAGACTGTTGATATCTGCTGCACCATGCCAGGTGCTAAGTGATGTAGTCTGACCTGGACACCCACCCCATGACACAAAGGACACACTTCTATCACTCCTTTACGGCCCCCACGACCTGAAGTAAAAAACAAACAAAACAAAAAAACAGTAAAAAACTATTCAGCAAAAAAATCCAACTTTTAAAATCCTACCAGAAAAATCAAAACAGTATATTAGTAATACAATGCTTATAAATACATTACCATTTAAAAATTTGGGATACTTTTTAGAGAAAATGTTATACTTTTATTCAGCAAGAATGCATTAAACTTACCAAAAGCGATTGTAAATGCTTTCTATTCGTCAAAGAATCATAAAAATATATATATTATTATTATTTTTATTTTTTTTTACAAAAATATTAAGCAGCACAACTGTGCTTAATGTGATACAAAAAACTGAAGTAACAGCTGCTAAAAATGCAGCTTTGCCATCACAGGAATAAGATCTTTCAAAGAAAAAATTCTTGAATGGTAGTGTAAAATATATAGTAATATAATAAAGTTCAGAAAAGGACCCCTTATACAAATATATACATTCCAGTCAATTATTACCTTCACACTTGTCACAGATTACATTCTTCTGGACAGCAAGTTTCCTGGTGGCTCCAATACAAAGCTCATCCAAAGATACAGTCAACTGATGCACCATGTTCTTTCCTGTGTAGAGCAACCACAACATTTCACTGTAAGATTTGTAATAATTCAGGAATTATTTAAAGTGGAATGCATGCATGTTAGCCTAATAGAACCTTTGATCTCCTCAAAAAGTGTAAACAAATGTAGAAAATGGGAATATCTGGGAATAACTTATATGTTTTACCAAACAAAAACATTCTATTTTAGGTTACTAAACATGTTAACTGAAAAAGGTCTGATTCCATTGTTCTTTGGAACATTCACAAATCTTCCAGGAACAACATGGGTTATCAGGTCTTGCGAAAGAAATGTGCGTACCTCTCCTCTCCCTGTGCATGTGTCCCCCTCCTCCAAAGAACATGTCAAAAATGTCCATGGGGGAGCCAAAACTTGGCCCTCCATTTCCTCCCTCCTTAATTGCCTTCTCACCCCCTCTGTCATACACTTCTCTCTTCTTGGTATCTGACAAAACCTCGTATGCTTGGGAGATCTGCTTGAACTGGAAATACAGAATAGTGAAGGGGACATAATATCTAAACTCAAGGTCCACACTTTGAGACCACCCAGATGATCTCTAAACTTCTATATATATTTCCAAATGAAAAAACCACTCAAATATAAGTGAACTATTAGGGAATTTATACTTAATACTAGACATTGATGATGTATAAAACTGTGACAGTCTTACCCTTTCCCCCTCTGTTGGATTTTTATCTGGGTGATATTTCAATGCCAGTTTACGATAAGCCTTCTTCAGCTCTTCAGGGCTGGCGTTAGGCTTTACACCCAGCATATCATAAAAACCAGTCTCTTTCACCATAGTTGCCCCCCAACAGGTTAATCTAGTCAAAAGAAACATTAAAAAAAAATACACTGAAAAACTTGACAGTTGCATAATTATTTCATTAGTATTAACCGTGTTAGAATTACTCTAAAGCTTGCCCATATTTAGTCTCATGATATAATAGCACTGGTTAGTAGAAATCAATTACAATTACATTAAACTCACCATAAAATTGAGACAGATTTAATTTGACCAACCGTTTTAAAACAAGTGATTTATAGTCCTTATTAACAAATTTTGTGTTAATGGATTTCAAAAACACGCGAAATTAAATGATAACGATACGGTGTCTGTTACTGTAAAAGGCAGCATTTTAGATAAAAACAAGCCAAAAAGAAACAAAACAAAGACAACAATCACGTGAACCATGCCATAACATTTTATTTTAATAAATCGTCAAGTACCGTGAAATATGGTGAAATCCCCTCTCGTCTTATGACTCCGTGTACCAAACAGACTTCCAGAATCTTCCAGCGGCGCTCTACATCTTCTTCTTGTGGAGCGTTATTGAACTTTGATTGCAGTGCGACCTATTTCTGCCACCTACTGTACGTAGTGACGTATGACAGGCAATGACGAGTAGCGTGTTTCCGTCGACAGCAGCTAATTTTATCAGCATTTCAATAACTCTCACTGGGCGACCATTCTCTTTCATATGTATTATTTATATAAATCACTAGCGCTTAGTTCACAAATTAAGTTTCATAATCACTAATTTATTTATTTATTTAGTCATTTATTAGACGCTTTTATCCAAAGCGACTTACAAATGAGGACAACAGAAGCAATCAATTGTAGTATTAAAACAACTAAAAACAGATCCAAAACGAAAAGCTAAAACTTTATTAATACTACCTATACACATTTTAAAAATAAAGAGATTAAATAAAAATGACAAATGCATACAACAAAGTTTCAAAACTTAACATAAATGAAAAACAAAAAATAAAGCTAAAAACAATTCAAAATATTAAAGAACAAAAGGTATAAGAGTATAATAATGATTCTAACATAACACTAAGCCAAAAAAACAACTACATATGTATGTACAACCACACACACATACATATATACTGTATATGTACATACACATTTATAAATTCAATATTATTTCATTTCCATTTAGTTTGTTGAACTAATGATATACAAATTTAAAATTTACTTTCCTAAGTGTTGCGTGTTTCTTGAATTCATTAGTTATCTCTTCACATTAATTCATGAAACGCAGCTACCACACTCAAATCTTGGCAAAAGGATCATTCGCCCGAACAGGGACTTGAACCCTGGACCCTCAGATTAAAAGTCTGATGCTCTACCGACTGAGCTATCCGGGCTTCGAAAACGCATAATGTTATAGCGACATCTATTTCCTGACTATTTAGTTGCACCAAACTCGTTAGGTGTTTGAGGAAATGGCCGGGTAACATTTCGAAAACGCATTATGTTATAGCGACATCTATTTCCTGACTATTTAGTTGCACCAAACTCGTTAGGTGTTTGAGGAAATGGCCGGGTAACATCGATTAACGCTTACAAATCTATAATGTCCGCATTCTTTTATGTCTTTAAAACGTGCCAATATGGAACGTTCCTAACGAGGGCGATTTCAAAAGACTGTTTTACAACGTGATAGTTTATATTTTAGAGTATAAATTCCAAGACTATTCGCCCAAATATTTTCAGTAGGCTCCATAGCTCAGGGGTTAGAGCACTGGTCTTGTAAACCAGGGGTCGCGAGTTCAAATCTCGCTGGGGCCTCAACTACGTTTTGTATAGCCGATTCTACTTCGAGACTATGCAATATAAACGGCATTCGTGGCAGTTACGAATTACATTTACACCAATTTCATATTAATCAGTTTGGTAGTGTTATTTGTATTAAGGATATCCTACCGCCAATGCTTCTGGAATCTTTCATTTCAGAAAAGGTCTGTATCCTACATCACTGTGTTATTTATTTGTAAATTATAATTTTAGGAGTTCAACAAGATCCTTTGCCGATTATTTTCAGTAGCGAAAATTCCTGGTGAGGTTCTCTATATAGACGACAGATGGCGCAACGACGTAAATGTCGACCTTCAAGAAGTCTTGAACCAAAGATCATTGTCAGAGCATAAGCTTATTAAGTCCATTACCTGACATAGCTACATCTCTATCACGTGCGAACTGAATATTTCCCTCCTGTGTTTGAAAATGTGAAAATATTCTCAACAAATAGATTCCAATCATTTTATTACATTGTAATAGCCTATTATTGTACGTAATACATTGTTTCATAGCACTTTTTTTTTGTTTAGAGGACTGTCCGTTTTTATTCTCAGGTTTTAAACCATTAACTGGGTAACAAAATACTCTACTTGTGTTTATAATAACAAAAATAGATACAAAACATATTTACCAGCAGAAGTGTCATTTAACATGACTCTGGCCTGGTTTAACAACCCATGCTTTAATTACGTTTAGTCTCATGAGTCGTGTATAAAACGTTTTGTATATAAATGCATGTTTTGGTGATGTTCTGTGTCTTATGTTTTATCATATTTAGTGATACATAGAATTCAACAGTTTACAACTTAAAACAGCAAAAATTAGGTCAGTTTTTCATTTATGCAGTTACTAGATGATATCTATGAATTATTGCTTTTTTCGTTCTGTTGCAATACAAATCCATCATATTACTTGCTCACCTGCAAACTACATGAAAAAACATGACCAACCAAACAGGTTTCGGCATCTGTGGCGCGTTAAAAGTTTAGCAACGTCTGATTTGTGAACGAATCGTTCCGTGTTCACGAATCAAACTGAATCGGTCCGAGCGGTTTTCAAACCAACTCACCGATTTATTGGATCGAGAACCGTGGCTGCATGCAGCTTTCATACTTTATAACAAATTTGGAATACGATTAAGAACAATAATGCCAGCATGCTATTATTCCGAAATCAGCCCATTACTTTCATATTCGCATATTTAAATCACGCTGTGACGAAGTAACCAGCATACTACTGTTACTATTTATCAAGCGGTTCTTTCAAACGAACTGTTCGAAAGAACCGATTCGCGGAAATGAATCGGACTTTCCAGCACGAGTTGGGCATTTTACTCGCACTGGTGTGTAACGCTGGGGAGGTATTATTGGGTGTCACATCTTCAACTCAGTTCGCTGCACACAAAACCACGAGCGGTTCACCAGAGATCGTTTACTCGAACGCTACATGATTTTCGATAAATCGCACCACGTTGCGCAAGGAAGTATTAAGAAGGAGAAGAAGCACAAACCGAGGAACAGTCAACGCTGAATGTGTAGAATAAGGAAGAAGAATATTGGTCCGTTGACTCGTTGTTGACACTCGTAAGGAGTTGTTGGGATCTCTCAAGCCCAGCCATGGAAGAAGTGATACGGAGATTTCTTTCCTGATGCTGCGATCTCACGCGTAAGCTACAAAAATGTGAGTAACGTTACACCTGCGATTTTATATGTAGGAAATCACAATATGCCAGCTCAAAACACATAACGTTACTCGTGTGTTTATCGATGTTATACAGACAAGGCAGTACAACATTACAGTGCTTAACATTAGCAAATCTGTCCTCACGCGTTCACAAAACGGAAAGTGATGCGTAACTAGTTTTTCTATTGTACTTGTAGGGACACGAAGTTGCTGGCCTCCGCCGTGGTCGTCTGGGAATGGCTGAACGAGCACGGGCGCTGGCGGCCGTACAGCCCAGCCGTGTCTCACCACATAGAGGCGGTGATAAGAAGCGATCCCCGCGGCGGCAGCGTCGTTTTAGGCCGAGCTGACAGCCGCCTGTCGCCCTACATCATCGATCTACACTCCATGCATCAGTTCAGACAGGATACCGGTAAGATGAAGATCAGCAGCGCAGCACTCTACCTGTGGCAAGCCACTTTTACATTCATTCTTTATAACGATCTAATTGAAAATTCTGTTATGTTATTATTTGTGATCCTGGACCTAAAAAAAAACCTGTCTTAAAGGGGTCATATGATGCTATTTTAAAGATAATTATTTTGTGTATTTGGTGTAACAGAATATGTTGACATGCTTTAATGTTCAAAAAACACATTATTTTTCAAATACTGTACATTATTGTAGGTCCTCTATGCCCCGCCTCTCTCAAACGCGTCGTTTTCAACAAAGCCCCCTCCTTTGACAAGCACAGTCTGCTCTGATTGAAATCACGTTCAAAAAGAAGGCGCGTGCGTGACGCTGTAATCCAAGCGATGACAGAAGTAGACGTAGAGGAGTGGATGACTGAATGCTCTGTGACCTTTTGCCTGGTTGTTAAAAAGTGCCTTTTGAGGCACCTTTACTTTATATAATGTAATTTATATTACTCCTGGCCCTGTATGTTTGTTGTTGTTGTTTTTTTTAAATTTCATTTTGTTTTGTGATTTTGTTGTTACTAGGGTTGTATATTTTTGTGTACTTGTTGCTAATCCTAATAAAGGAAGGAGAGAGAGAAAAAAAAAGCCTTTTAGTCACTCTAAAATTCATATTCCTATCCCTTAAGTCGCGCGAGATCTGCTATAAGGAGTGTCTGTTTGAGAACACTAACGTTATGTCCTTGTATACATATATTAGCCGCCAAAACAGACCACAGCACAACGTGATCGCAGCATTCTTTCTCTTTTTTTATAGACACTACTATCGCTATTGCAAACCCGGCATTTGTGAACACTAGCACACGTGTGTGAATTACAACCACCCTTCTCTTTCTTGGAATTGTACGGTTCATTGAGTGCAAGAGCGCTCCGCCGGGACACTAGGTCCGGCCTATATTCCCTTCATTCCTCCGCGGCTATTCAGTAGCTTTTCCGTGAAGGATTTTATTGCATATAAAGCTACAGACTATAATTAGGCATAGTCACTATGAGAGTTTTCATTCAACATTTGTCGAACTCCGCATTTGAACAGTCAATAGCAAATACTTAAACTAGTAACAAAACATACTTACAGTCGCTGATTCAGAAGCGCCAGATTGTCATAGCAAAGTCGGAATTGACCTCTTTTTTTTATTTTAGAAATAGTCTTTGTGCACAGCCAGCTTTGTACTCTTCTCGGTTCAAAAAACTGTCGTCCATAAAATGCGTTGCACAAATTCGAACATCTGGGTTGTGCTGTTCTGTTGTAAATAAATCTTAACCAATGATTCCTAATTGCATCTACTTCCGGAAGGCCAAATAAAGTGCTTTTGCTTTCGCACTGAATCACAGATTCCAGATTTTCAAATAGTTGTATCTCAGCCGAATATTGTCCTATCCTAACAAACCATACATCAATGGAAAGCTTAGGCTATTTATTCAATCTCAGTTTAAAAAAATGGACCCTTATGACTGGTTTTGTGGTCCAGGGTCACATTTTATATACGTATTTATATATCACTAGTAAAATGCTGAAATACCTTCATCAAGCATTCAATAGATATGAGTGCTTGCTAATCACTATCCCAGCATTGATAAGTAAAAATACAGTTGTTATTAGTAACAATTTTAATCTTATTATATTGACATTTTTAACAACATTTATCTTATTGGTTGACTCAAAATGCAAAGACTACTCAGAATCGCTCATACTAAATACTAGTTTATAAATAGCAGGTACTAGTAAAGCTGGATTCAGTACTTATAACTATTGAAATAGTTACTAGTAACCTAACTAGGGCTGCACGATATATCGTTTCAGCATCGATATCGCGATGTTTAGTATAGGCTACTGATCGTTATATTTATACTGATTGTTTTCTTTGCTCACACACAGACACGATGTCTACACCGGACGTGACAGCTGTACAGAGATACCCATTTTAAATACATTTAGTAGCAGAGCTACTGCACGCGATTGTGCTGGAAATCCATTTGTCCTTTGTTGAAACTTCCGCGTCGTCGTGGAGAGCGCAGGTCACGGTCGCTTAGCAACGGCAGACGCCATGAAAGCACGTATTTCAGCGCAAAGTCTGTCTACACTGGACGCTACAAAGCGACCGTTGCCAATCATTTGAAATTTGTGTCAGTACGTCATAAAGAGAACGTGGCATCAGTTTACTGTTGGGGATTTGTCGTGCCGCGCCACATCCAGTGTAGACAACATCACTTATTATAATGGGTTCATTGTATTTTGTCGCGTCGCGCGCATCCGGTGTAGACACTAATTTCTGTTCACTTCTGCGTCTATTTGTGCCTGAAATACTGTGCTCTGCAAGTATCCTTGTAAACGCAGTTGCTTATGGCTTAGCTGAAGGGAAACAATTGAGAAAGAAAGTGGATGTGTAACAGTATATTGGTTTACAGCAGTTTAATGTTCCTGAGGCTTTCTGTGTTATGAATGTTAATCAAACAACAAAACACAAAGAAAAATCACTTTTGCAGCTTTAACACAGATTTATTAGATTTAAGTTATACAGTGAAGACTGTGCTGTTATTTTACATTTGATTATTCAATTTCTGTACCTAAATACTGTTAGACTATATTTATATTTATCTATGCTTGTAATTTGTTTATTTCCTATGCTGATTTACTCGCCTACAAAATCACCCCAATCATTGATTATTTTTTTCCCCAAATAAACTATTCAAGTCATGTGGTGATTTTTTTTTTCATATCGCAATATATATCGCAGAAAAATAAAATATCGCAATGTGATTTTCTTCCAATATCGTGCAGCCCTAAACCTAACCAAGCTGTAAATATGAAAGCCTGTCTCTTCCACAAAATAAAGTAAAAGAAGGTAACTGCTACTTTTTATTTTACAATTTGGACTTTGTTTCTCGCTGTTGTGTTTTTTTTTTTGTTTATAACTCACAATTCAGTCTTTTCTTCTCAGAATTGAGAGTTAACATCCTGACTTTTTTCATGCAATTCTGAGTTAGAGGAAAAAGGTCAGACTTGTGAGATGTAACATCAGAATTGCAAGAAAGAAGAAGTCCGAATTGTGAGATAGTCACATTTTTTTTATCCCGCGGTGGAAACAAGCTTCCATACATAAGTGCTAGAATCTCATGAATACAATTGGAATAGAATCCAGCAACAATTGGAATACATTGTACATTTGAATCAAGTGGTAAAGATTTACTCTTTTGGAACTATGACTAGTAGCAAAGGAATCAGTGCTAGTATCTCTTGGTGAAACTAAAGAAAAGACTAGTCATTGAGTAATTAAAAATACAAGTATTAGTAACAGATAACTGTTAGTTTTATGGAATAATTGTTAAAACGTCTTGAGAGTTAAGTGTCTAATCAGTTTGTTGAAAACATAGCCCCGCAATGTTTTGATGTGCTGTTTTCGCACCTTCACCAGCAAATTTTTAACGCTCATGTACTTATGCACTTATTTGAGTTTTGAAGTGTGACATTGAATAATGTCCACTGTCTGTCTAGGCAGCTGTTGTTTTAGAAGGATATACAATGGCAGATATATATAAGCCACACATTGCATAGCAAAATATGAGACCAAGTTACATTTTTTGCCATAAACGGGCAATATATGTTAAACAATATAATATTAAAAGTAGATTTATGTATGACTGGACAACACAAATCGAAGGAGTGTGAAAATATAGGTGCAGAAAAAAGGCACGCATGTCATGCTCTAGTGAACACAGCTTGTTACAGAACTTTTTTTCTTGTAAAATTTACCAAACATGCTGAAAAAATTAATTTTCTAGATATAATGATTTCTAATGCTTGAAACTGAGTTACAAAACATTATCCATGTCTGATCTTGCATGATTTTAGTCAGACTAAACCGCTATTTCTTTAGTTTTATATGTAAAGTGTTTAAAGTCCTGTATGTTTGCAGACCCTGATTAAAGTGACTCACAGCAAATTCTTGGGCCAAAACTGCCTATTTATCCCTGTGGATAAAGTGCATTGGTGGTAATCAAGTGCACAAGGACACTCATAACCTCACAGGCCTAATGTGAATAATGGTTTACAGATACACACACCCAGGCAGCTCCCCAATTTTTTTTGCTAACACCCAAATTGTTTTGAAATGCAGGCTTTTCTCAGGTAATGTTTTGCCACCAAATTAAGATGAGGTTAGTGACATTTGCAACCTTAATCGCTCTGTCAAGACTTGCCCTAAAAACCTGCAAAGTAACTTGCTCAGACACACGTACACAGAGAGTGAAGTTCCTTAAAGGACTACCCAGGGAAATGAGAACACTTCCATGTGAAAGAACGAAACTATAAAGATTGATTGAGGGGGGAAGAAAAGGGGAGTGGTTGTTATTGTGCAACAGGCTAGTGTGTAGTTTCATCAGATCTGGGCCCCTGGGGTGCCGTCAGTTACTCTGTTTTCCATTGCAGTCTGGAGATTAGTATAACACACACACACTCACACCCACACACTCACACCCACATAGGGCAGGATTGTGTTTCTCCTCATCCAGTGACTCTCACATGGTTGGGCTGAAATAATTTCTTTCAGGCTGACCATTCTGTGAATCATTTCTGTTGGTATCACTCCCTCCATGAACACACATACACATGCACTACCAGTCAAATAATAATAAAGATTTTTTAAATGTTTTTTAAAGAAGTGTCTCATGCTCACCAAGACTGCATTTTTTTTGGTTAGTAAAAACAGCAATATTGTAAAATATTATTACAATTTAAAACAGCAAAATAATATATTATAAAAATATATAATATTGTAAAATAAAATGTAATTTATTTCTGTGCTGACAAAAATTTATTTTCAGCAGCCATTACTTGAGTATTCAGTGTCATTAGTATCAGTAATTATTGGTGCTCAATTAAAAAAGTTCAAAAAAAGTTTTTTTTTTGTTGTTGTTTCTTTTTTAATACAGACAAACTGATACCTTTTGTTTTTTTTCCAGTTTAAAAGAACAGCATTTATTTTAAATAGAAATCTTTTATAACATTAGAAATAGCTTTACTCTTATTTTTAAACAATTTAATGCATCCTTGCTGAATAAATGTTTTTTTTTTTTTTATTCTACCCCAAAGTTTTGAATGACAGTTTATGAAGGTTTCCACAAAAAAAAAAAAAAAAATTTTAAAAGCAAATCAGCATATTAGAATGATTTCTGAAGATCATGTGACACTGAAGACTG